CCTACAGTTATCAATACAGTACTGTTGCTTACTTAATCTTTCTGGGTTTACAATAAAAGGCAGAGTATGCTGCTATTTGCTCTTTGATAGAATAAAGTTCTAAGATACAATCTGTAGAACAGCATGTGTGTAAAGATTAAGCTTTGGTATAATATCCCTGATATGTTTTTAATTTTTTTTATCTCTCCAAACAGTGCTTACCTTTCAAGGTGGCCTTTTTCAATACCTTCATTGCATAAAGCTGTCTAGCATCTGATCCTGAGATTTTTTTGACAAGAAAGACCTGCATTAAAAATTAAAAAGAATTCTTAAAAGAAAATAAAGGCAAGTCAGATCAATATACTTTGCTATGAAATTCAAGTAGCCAGTATTATTTCAAATGAAACTCAACCTTATTATTCCTCCCAATACTATTATTAGCTTCTTCAACTGTTTTCCAAAAATTTCCTTGAATTTTTTCCTACTATTCCTTCATTTAATAATCTAAAAGGTTCATTCAAGACAAACAGTCTGCCAAATTAACTTTGGTTTAACTTAATTGATTCCAGTTAGTAAAAGAAAGGATGAATTTGGATTCTCTCAGAAGTTGAGACAAATTTGAAACACAAAATTTAGCTTTTTAATATTAATCTCCAAATAGTTTTGTCTTCTTAAAATTCATAAGATGGCATAGCAAAAGGGCTAATTAAATAATTGTCAGATATGAAAATAAATGTGTGTACAAAAGTTGATCCAGAAAACTATATGAACCAATGCATATAACAAATTTTTTTTTCAGAAATAACCTATAAAATTATAAGAACCAACCTCTTGTGTCACAAAACCATATTTTTTAATGATGTGCTTCCATTGAGTTTTGTACATATCAACAAAGCACAACCAGCCTCAATTAAAGTGTGTTTCATTTCCTTCTTTTGTAAAATGTGTTTTCTTTTATGGTATCCTTACAAATACAAAATGAATTCCAGTAGATCCAAATTTTAGATTTAGAAATGAAGAAGAAAAAAACCATACTTGTGACAAGTTATTTACGAAAAAGCACAGAGACATGTTGTGATATACAAGAATGTTAAATGTGTTATATGAAATTAGTTTTATGTCTGCATTTGCATCCAATTCCCACTTATGTTAACACCTTTGCACTATCCAGATATTACTAGATCATCAAGAGACCTTGAAAAGCATGCAGGCTGGTCTTTTTAAACTGAATGAGAAGTAGTGACACCTTTCCAAAGTATTAGAAAAAAGGGATTACGGGTTTTGTAATATTAATCCTTTTTTTGCATAAAGGCTAAAACAATTGAGGACAAGACTGGCATTTTTGTAATACTTTGAGACAGATAGTTAACTGTTTTTGCTTTTTAAAAATTCCCCGTCCCCCAGCAGTTATAGCACTGAATTTAGTAACGTCAATCAAAGCGACTGTTGAAATTATCATTCACTATCTTACATTTCCTTGCCCCTGAATGATTTACTTCTGATTTGAAGATTTTGAGATAAAAACTTGGTTATGATTCTGGATGAACTCAAACAACATAGGAAACCACCTTTGGAATCAGGTTTCTCGCTGAATTCTTACTAGTCTGAGTACAAAATTTTAAAGTTTCTAAACATCTAGGTTTCCAAGCTTTACTGGAACTGCTACTACAATAATGTGACTAACAGTGAGTTCCTACTACCAAGAGAGAACTGGATTGATTATTCTCATTTTCCCCCATATCCATGATGGACTTGGCATTATGTGCTAGTGCTTAACATCACATTCAGAATTCCAATTAAGGCTGAAAATGGATGTAAAAGCTCCGTTGTCTTGCACTGCATATTCCATTCTGACTCAATGATCTGTCTTGCTGCATGAAATTAATGTTTTGCTTCCGATTTGGACAACTGAAAGTTTGAATCATGTACACCTAGTGAGATCTCAGTGTGGACAGTATTCACTAAATGCCAGAAACATTGTGTCTTTAACAGATCTTCAAATAAACATCAAGGTACAACTGAATATTAAGGCACAAGCAAGCATGGCTGTGCCTTAACCAAAGTCTGACAGATAATGCCTAGCATGAACACAACTAGGGTATGTTTACTTCAGTAGCCATTACTGTCTAAAGTTTGCTCTTTGTAATTACAATCTACTACAAAAATTAATTCTGCCTGTATCACCAGTATTTTCTGTACTGGTAATTACCTACCATTAGCAAATTAGCGACTAGGAATACTTATCAAAAAAACCTTTAAACTCTTGCCCCCTCAAACATAGGAGAAGAGTAGTTAAAGAAAAATGACTCAATTTTAACAGTGAATACCCAACTATTTAATAGTAAGTCAATTTTTCTATGAATCTTGGAGATCTACATATCATATAAACTAGAAAAAGATTTACTGCTTTAAACAGATCTGCCACAATTAAAAAATGGACAGTTAGCACTAATGTAGAAAGCAGTTTTCACTTGCAGCGTCGCCTTAATGCAAGACTGTGTCTGTTCTAAATATTTCACGCCTACTATTACTCAGTGCTACACTCCCAAATTGGCTTCACAAGAGCTCATTTACCAACCTTTCCAAAGGATCCTTGTCCTAGTACTTTCAGAAGTTCAAACTGTGAAGGGTCTGCTTTCTCATGTCCTTCCTTTACGTGGTGAGTTATTGCAATTTCTTTGATATTTCCTTCTTCCTGACAGAGGAAAAGAGAGGAATAAGTTTGTTAGTGGTGCATCTTCCTAAAATGTTTACAAACTCACAATGTGTTGAGAAATTCCAGTGCCACTGAATCCAACCAGCTACACACTCCCAAATGTAGATAAAAAACACTGAACAACACTATTTGCATAATTAAGGCACAAAAAATAAGTTATATCTATTACAAAAGGCTGTATTAGTTCAGTAACTATGTAGCTTAAACTTTTGGGGACGCATCAGAACCCAGACAATAACAAGTGACAATGACAAGTCAGCAATTCCCAAGTTTTTGTGCTTAGTTCCATATTGTTTGGTTCATAATCTCCACTCCAGATTCACCACTCACTAATGGAAACTAGTCTTAAGAATTTAGTCCTCTTAAAGCACACCTAGAGTGCATCAAATGGACCAGATCTCTTACGAAAGTCCTCCTTTTTAACACTCAAATGAGGACACTTATGTTCTAATAACGTTAATGATCACCTTTATAAGATAGTGTAAGACCCAAGACACTTCCCTGAAAAGCAGCACACTCTTCCCCCCCATTTTAGCAGCAATAAACTCTCCACCTGCCACTGGGAAAATTTCAGTGAGGAAAAGAATCTCATTGCTTCTCTTCTCAAGGAGAGTCCATTCTATAAAAGCTGCCCGCCTTCAGCATTCCCCCTTCTGTCAGAAACTAAAGTCACCAGAATATTTTTGTGCTCTGCACTTAATTCAGTATTTTCTGCACAGAATTTAAAAATCCCCTGAAAAACAACACTCTTTGCCACACAAGGAAAGAATTTCAGAACTTACCAGCAACTGTTCAAAAGTAAGTAAAAAAACCTGCATTCTTATCAATGTCATCTGAAGAATTATCTAGGCATTACGCTCAATCCAACCTAAGCACCAATGACTAAGTTAACTTGCATAATACTAACACACTAACTACAATTTCAACTTTTTGTGCATTCTCTTCCTATTCCTTCTATGGACTTGTGGTGGGATGGCCCCAGTTGTACACCAGGTGCCCACCAAAGCTGCTCTATCACTTCCCTCCTCGACTGGACAGGGGAGAGAAAATATAACGAAAGGCTAGTGGGGGGAGATAAGGACGGAGAGAGATCACTCACCAATTACTGGCACAGGCAAAACAGACTCAACTTGGGAAAAATAAATTTAATTTATTACCAACTGAATCAGAGGAAGATAATGAGAAATAAAACACAAATCTTGAACCACCTCCCCCCACCCCTCCCTTCTTCCCGGGCTTAACTTTACTCTCAATTTCTCTACCTCCTCCCCCCCGAGTGGCACAGGGGGACAGGGAATGGGGCTCACAGTGAATTCATCACACATTATTTCTGCTGCTCCTTCCACCTCAGGGGGAGGACTCCTCACACTCTTCCCCTGCTCCAGCGTGGGGTCCCTCTCATGGGAGACAGTCCTCCATGAACATCTCCAATGTGAGTCATTCCCACAGGCTGCAGTTCTTCACAAACTGCTCCAGCCTGGGTCCATTCCATGGTGTGCAGTCCTCCAGGAAGGGAGTGCTCCAGCGCGGGTCCCCCATGGGGTCACAAGTCCTGCCAGAAAACCTGCTCCAGTGTGAGCTCATTTCTCTCCATGAGGCCACAGGTCCTGACAGGAACCTGCTACAGAGCAGCCTTCCCACTGGGTCACAGCCTCCTTTTTGGCGCTCCAGTGTGGGGTCCTCCACAGGCTACAGTTGGACATCTGCTCCACCATGGACCTCCACAGGCTGCAGGGGGACAGCCTGCCTCACCATGGTCTTCATCATGGGCTGCAGGGGAATTTCTGCTGTGATGCCTGGAGCACCTACTCCCCCTTCTTCTTCACTGACCTTGGTGTCTGCAGGCTTGTTTCTCTCACATCTTCTCACTTTTCTCTCTGGCTGCAATTGCAAAGGTTTTTTTCTTCCTCTTCTTAAATATGTTATCAATAGAGGTGCTGTCATGATCACTGACTTGGCCGGTGGTGGGTCTGTCTTGGATCCGGCTGGCATTGGCTCTGTCAGACATGGGGGAAGCTTCTGGCAGGTTCAATCAATCAAAACCTGGCCATGTAAAAAGTGCAAATAAAGCAAATAAAATAAATCTGAGAATAATTTTTCTCTATTTAATGAGGAAGTCTCAGATCTATTTCACAGAATCACAGATGAGTTGAGGTTGGAAGGGACCTCTGGAGGTCATCTGGTCTAAGCCCCATGCTCAAGCAAGGCCACCTACAGCTGGTTGCCCAAAATCATGTCCAAACAGCTTTGATATCCATATCTCTAAGGATGGAGACTGCACAACCTCCCCGGGCAAACTGTGCCAGGGCTCAGTCACTCTCACAGTGAAAAAGCATTTCCTGATGTTCAGAGGGAACCTCCCGTGTTTCAGTTTGTGCCCGTTGCCTCTGGTCCTGTCACTGGGCACTGCTGAAAAGAACCTGACTCTGTTCTCTTTGCACCCTCACTTCAATTTGGTCTAACAAGATTTCACCTTTGTGAATCCATGCTGACTAAACCCAGGAACTTTTTTGCCCTTTATGTACACGGAAATGGTTTCCAGGATTAGTTGTTCCATCACCTTCCCATGGATCAAGCTGTGGCTGACCATCCTGTAGTCCCCTGGGTCCTCTTTCTTTCCCTTTTTGAAGATAAGGGTAACACTTGCTTTCATTTAGTCCTCAGACATCTCTCCCAGTCACCATGATCATTAGAAGATAATCAAGAGTGGCCTCACAACGACATCTGCCAAGTCCTCAGTACTCATGGGTGCATCCTATCAGGGCCCACAGAATTACATATGTCCAGTTTGCTCAAGTATTCTCTGATCTGACCCTTTTCCACCAAGGGTATGTTTTCTTTGTTCCAGACTCTCCCTTTGCCTATATGCACAAAAATGTGCACTAATTAGTTCTATTGATGACTGAGTAGAGGCAGCATTCTAAAGCTGTGCTTCTGTAGCACTAATTTATATATGTTTCAAGTATTCAGCAAGATTTATGTGCATGAATTATTGCTGAAAGTATCCTTTTGTATGTGGTCATTTAAGTACCGTGGATAAGTGCACAGCAATTGTCCATACATATCAGCATGCACAGAACATCCTGGCAATTTCTAAAATCAGAAAGTAAAAAAAGACATTTTAATGTAAAGAACATGGATTTGTCTCGAGTGTGCTACAATTAAGATGACCAATAAGGATAAGTGCCAGTTTTCATTTTAAGACAGCCAAAGTTTCACATGTGGGTGCATGCTGTGTACTACTCCTAATAAACCTAAACTCCTTTTTCCTTTCAAGAGAAAACGCTACTATCGTTGACTCAGAGCTGCACCTTTACAGAGTTTGAAAGAAGTATCGATTCCTTCTACTTGTCAAAGGAATTATTTGCTGCTAGACATTTGTATTTTCATCTTTTAAACTCGTATATGATCAGTGGGATTACATACTACTTAAACCACCCACTGCAATCTTAGAGAGTCCCAGGGGAGGAACAGCACAGTTGAACAGGTTGCCAAGTACACATTACTTCCAATACTTTGATTCATTTCTGCTTAACCATTTTATCTATTAGCTCTTTGGCAATCTTGGGAAAATAAAAAAATGTGTGAAACAGAACTTCTTCAGATCTTTCTGTTATCTACCCAGATTCAAGGACACAAAGCAATCAGGTGGACGCACTGCTCTAAAAGCATCAAAAAATGTAATAAAAACAAGAAATAAAGAAGAAAAAATACTAAGTTGTTCTCTATACACAGAGAAAAATTATTTTTAATGCAATGCAATTATTATGCAACCAACTTCCCAGTGGTTATTTTGGGCACCCTCTTAAAAAAACAAACAAACAAACAATGAAATCACCACTTCGCATTCCTGATACTAAGAGAATATTCCCAGTCTTCACAGTTTCTCAGGGTTCAGATACTCTTCAGTCCTTATAAGGCAGACCTAGTACAACTCTGTTTTAAATGAAATGGAACTCAGATCATATCCTACTTTAGCAGCTTGTCCATAATATATGTTTTGGAGCAAGACTGATGTTGAATAGTTACCTACAAATTTGCAGTTTCCTTTTCTGACATAATTGCCAAACGTTTGTTATTTTAACCTAAACAGCATTTTGCAAATGCAGTTAAAAATACAAAAGCTAAGCCTTTTATAGAAATGCAAATTATAATCAAGCCTCACTGTACCCACTATCTACCTGAATTAAAATACAAGCCTTTCACACTATAGAAAGTGATCTCTTTCTTGGCCAACTGCGCTCATTACATTACTTGATAGATGCTGTATGACAGTAAGCGGGAACGGAAGGCAGTTGTTCAGTCTGCTACTAAATTTGCCTTAAGCTTCGCCTCTGATCATTGCCTGATGCTTGGAAAAAATGTTTGTCCCATGAGATGAATTCAAATTAAATGAGAAGATGCACAGGGTGCTGAAAGACTCCAGTCCTCCTCTCCCTGCTTCCATTCCCTGAATAACTTCCACACCACTACAGACATTCACTCACCAGAGATATGGCCATTGCAATGGTAGAACCTTATTTCCAGTTCTAACTACACCCTACTGCCTATTTTTTTTATTTCTGTTATTTATAAGCTTGGAGAGCTCCCTTTTCACAAGCCTTATACTGCAGCAATGTATAAATAAGAGTCCTAAGACATAGATTTCTTTTTCTAGCCACATAGCTCTCTCTTAAGGCCCTTTTCACACTAGAAAGTAAAACTCTCACAGAAAGTCACATTTAAAAAAACATAAAATTCTGTTTTAGTCAACTTAAAGTGGTTGCTACTGGCTTCCATTATTGTGAAACTAAATATAGACTACAAGGAAACAAACAGAAGGTAACATAAGTCTGAGTTTCCTTAACATTTCCTTAACAGTATAATAGTGTTAAATCAACACTGGCCTAGAAGGGAAGTGAGTGACAAACAAGTTTGGGTATGAATTTAAAACACCACTATTTGAGAATAACTTCCTGTACTGATATAGTTTGCAA